TTTTCTTTTCGGTTCACCATAGAAATAAGGAGAATAAAAGAGAAGAAATTAGATCAATCAAATTATTTGATTTCTTCAATTAAATTAAAGTGGATTAACTTTTAAAGAAGAATATCTAATAAAAGAATGTTATTTGCTAGTTATACTCAAGTGAATTAAATTAGTGACAACATTGTATTAGCAATAAGATTTACTTAAAATGAAAATCGATTTTTAAAAAAATATGTATTTAAAGCAATTAGTCCCTTTAAATAAGAACTTTCGTCTAAATTTGAACGAATAGTTTCACAATATTTGAGCGCCTTTGATAAATTTCGATAATGTAATAAGAAGACGGAGATTATCAGAATTATGTGATATATTAGGGCAGAAGCAAATACAATCAAGTGACCCAATAAGAGCAGAGGATAAACATCTATCATTGTCTATTGCTAAACATAGAATTGAAACAGGCCATAAGGTTGATCTAAACACGGCTTTTGTGATTTTGTATAAAAGTGTAAAAGGGCATATACTAAGATTTATTGAAGCCTTAGCCATATGAAAATTCAAACCCCCTTTGTGTGTTCAAAAACAGTTTGTTCTTACCTTAAACCTACCCTGATAATATTGACTTATTATCCAGAGTGATTAGGTATCGAGTTGTGTTCACATTATTATTGCTCTCATTATTATCCTCTTAGCCCATTTCCAATCTAGTGGACCTTTTATTTTTATATATAAATGCTCTTAACAAGTATATGTGTGATCAGATTGTTCGAAATGTATTGCACTAACATATAACATAATTCTGATAATCTTCGTCTTCTTATTGCATTATCGAAAAACGTGTATTTAGTCAATAAGCATATATACTATAATTTAATTTTGGCCTTTTAGAAAATATAATCAACTGAATAGGATTTATTTCCTATAATAATAATAATAATATATCTACAAGTGGTAATCATTTATTACGATACAGACTCCAAAGTAATTTTTACCTTATTACATTAGTTTGTATAGAACGTTTAAGAAAAATAAATGAACTTGCTACTTGATAAGGATTTAATATCAACCTAATTACTGAAATATTGTTATCATACAATCTATTTAATTGTTAAAATGCAACTATTTTTAACCATGGATAAATTGTCTTGGTTTAAATAACGATTAGGAATAATGATGACATTTAACAGAAGTTTTTAAACTATCTTATTAATTAGACTAAAATGTATAGGTTATGTATGTACTTGCATTGTTGAATTTCTCTGTAAGTAATGCCTATTAGTTGACAAGTGATTTCGTAACTACACCTGAATGTGCTTTCCTAACTCGATCATAACGATTAAGAATTTCATGCTTAACTAGTTTAACTAAATTAAATTATCTAAATTACAGTCGTTTAAACACTTTATTATTTTACATTTTCTCATTACAGACTGACATCAGTGAAACAGCTCTTGAAAACCATCATACACTATATAGCTGTTTTGCCTGAGTGTAGGATTCATTAACAATAATTTTAAGTAATTTTACCAGGAGACTTTTTTATCCTTAATGAGAGTGCGAAATACAAATTGCAAATACTGAGGTGATTCTATTTACAAAACCTATACTAGTTACAGACTAAGGAATGTGATGATAAAATATCCACTGAAAACTTTGTTATTGATCCAAATAACAAGTACATTTGAATTGCCAAATCTAGAGACATATGCTCTTGCTAATAGGATAAAGGGATCATTAAAGTTGTCTGTAGACCCCAAATGCCCTGGTACGGCCGAGAGTGGGGAGAATCCTCTCGCCCTCTCGAAATGCTCTCACATGGACACGCGCATTTAGCCTCTGCCAGGGAAGTCCTACTCACTACCTTCTCGTGGTGAGGGTGTTGTTTACAAAATCAAGAGAACGAAAGGCGAATGTCGCTGGTCACCGGCTACCATAGGAGTGCATCTCCTTATGATGCCCCACTGTCATGTGGATCAGACCTTTAGGTCAGAGGCTCCAGGTGTGGCCCCCTAAGAAAATCACCTGCTTCTGTTTGGGCACGCGGGCAGTATCACAGCCCTCACACAAATCTCATTTGATTTGTGTGACGCATATGTATTCGGTGCCTCCTTGTGCCAATATCTATGTGCTAAAACAAAAAATAAATAAAATAAAGTTATCTGTAAATTAAGTTTCAACAGTATATTTATATTTGATAGATTTTCTATAGTAAACTGATATCATCTGATCAACTATTAAAAATCAACACTAGAGAAGTGATATGTCATATTTTGGACTTCTGATAATTACTTATCCACGATTGTACATGAGAAACATGATACAACATTCATATCTCACTATCCTTAGAACACTGGATTCCAGTTCAGCCATCCATATCTCTATTGGAGTCAGCTAAACTAAAATACGAAAGATATTTTAGTAATGTAATTTCAGTTACTTGTTAGTAGTTCAAATTTTTATAACAAATTTCTTATAATTGTTTTTTGTTATTTGCAAAGAAATATTTATAACGTTGATTTTAACATAATATCAATTATTTTTATAAGGAAAATGCTGTGAACCCTTCTGTTTATATCTCACTTTCTTTTAGTTAGGTAAAAAGTTATAATTCTAAATCCTGCTTTAAAATATGACTCAGACCTGAGATAAAGCCCCGATTTTAGTGACCAGAACTAATTCTGAGTATAAATTATTTTAAGTTTATCTTGAACGTCTTACTATGAAAAATGAAATGAATCATTTCATGTCAAACATTTATCTGTTTATGTCATATTTACACAAAAGATTATTTAGTGAAATGTTCTACTTAAAACCAGCACCTGTCATTCACACCCATGTTAAACATTAGAAAGTAATGAAATAAACAGATTAATATGGTCAAACAAATGCTTTTGATTACTTCAACTTAAAACAGATATCTATATACAAAGGATTCCTATCTTATTTTAACATACGTTGAGTTCATCTTATCTACTGGTATATTCATCATTTATAATCAAACAAATTCTCATCTTATATTCATTACTCTACCATTAATATCTAAGATTAATTTCTTTTTTAATCAAGTATTTTGATATTTTCTTTAATAGACAAATGGAATATATGGAAATTACAATACATAAGCTTCTTTAGAAATATATTAGATTGGTGTTATTGAATTATTTATTTTACTATAAAGATTGAGTATACATTTCTGATCTGATTTGACTACTCTCAGTTATTTTACCTGAATTAATCCCTTGCAAATACCGTCCATATTCTAAACTAACCACAGTTAATCATTTGTTGATTGTTATTATTACATGAGACATGACATTATTAATGCATTGTGTTTTGCTAAAACAGGACGTGCTATAAAATTAGTCATTATTCATGAAATTTTCAACCTAATCTCAACACTTTATCTCACTTCATATTTATTTCTAATGGTTTAAATATCAGTAAAATGTCAGCCAACTCTACATGAAAGTTGTTTAAATATACTGAGGATTACTTGTTCACTTACTTGTTAAGTACATATTTTAATGAAAAATATATACACTGTATGAATTATCCTACTTAGTAATTAACTTGCAATATTTGAAATGTATGATGATGATGATGATGAACCAAATTTCTGTAATGGAAAAACAAAATCAACGCGATATATGACCATTTACATAATCAGAAAGAACTAGTCACTTCATGCCTAATAGGTTAATTGCGATCAATTTTCAAGTATTTGTGCTGTGTTCATGTAATAAATTTTAACTAAACAACCAAAATATTTTGTGAGTGCACACTCTCTTAAAGTCTCTTAGTAGAACAGAATAACTGCACAATACTCTGTAGTTTTTTCAAAAGAAAAATGATAATTTTGAAACGATTCAAAAAATGGGATTTAACGAACTCCATGAATTACCAGATAACTTGGAGATTTTAGCTTTATTTGAGTCTCCATTTTTGGTGTTTGTTTAAATTTCTGATAAGTGATGCATCTGTTGTATCCTAGTGAAGATTAAATTATAGGTAACTTCTGTGAACTATTAATGGACTAATATTAGTGTATAAGTATTCAGTAACTAGATTGTGTATATCTATATTCCTTTTATTATAAGGTTTATTTATACCTATAGGCTATTAAGATAGGATTTACTATTAATAAATTATACTCAGTTTATTAAATACAGTCTCCCATGTACACGGTCACATTTTGGCTGTACAAATGTTATTTCCTATTTTATGGTGTGATGCGGTCTCTTTGGCTTGTATATAAAGCAGGTATGTTCTAAATAAATGATTCGTATAGTGGTAGCTCCTATTGATAATCTAGACTCAACTGAGAGATCTAGGAGGATAAAGGACCATTTAGTACGCTAGGCTGCTCATACCAGTTGAACGTCAACAATTTGGCACAATGCTAAGATTGCATAAGTTATATTCCAATTGGCAAATAAGTTACGTGATAATTAGCCAGACTTAAAGTCACAACAGTATCTGATAAATCCTTTACATAAATTACTTAAAAAACACAATAACTGAAGTGATTTTCAATGTAAATGAATAACCTTTCTAATACATTTCCTTAGTTTAATATTAGGATAGAATATTAAGTAATCTTCCGTTTCCTTCAGGAACCCTCTCCAACTTATAGATACTTTAATAAAATTTCCCCGTTTTTAATCGGTTTTAACCAAATGATGATGCTTTCCAACATCTCACCTATTCAGTTGTTTTTATAAAATGTTTACAGTTTAACACTAAGATAATTGCCTTCAAATTCCAATGGAACCATGAATTTGCTTAGTATGATCTCTTTTAGGAATAGTTTTTATAGAGGTAATTGCATTAAAGTTCAAACATCAAATATATATTATGAGATGGTTAAAGAGTAAAGCTAAGTAGAAACGCTTAAGAGTCAATGTGAATAATATCAAACAGCCGTTAAAAACGTCGTCGCACTCGTTTTGAAGATCAATATTTTAAATAGATAGTAAAAGGGAGCTTGATGCAATTTTAGATATTCAATCTTAGGATTCTTTATTATTATTATTATTATTATTATTATTATTATTATTAGTAGTAGTAGTAGTAGTAGTAGTAGTAGTAGTAGTAGTAGTAGTAGTAGTAGTAGTAGTAGTAGTAGTAGTAGTAGTAGTAGTAGTAGTAGTAGTAGTAGTAGTAGTAGTAGTAGTAGTAGTAGTAGTAGTAGTAGTAGTAGTAGTAGTAGTAGTAAGTGCCATTAATTTTATATCATGATGATATGATATTCAATAGAAAAATTAATCTACTTACAAATAATGTAAGTAGCTATTTCACGTAGATTAAGAAAATATTGACTGATGATAGTCTTTCAACGGCTAAATTAAATCATTTTCAAATCCACAAAGTTTCCCGTCAACCAATATCTCTCTGTATAATATCCATTTGACTCTGAGTATCAGTCAATGAGTGAGAACGTAGAACATAATACAAAATAATAATATCATTCATAAACTTCTCAGTATAGACAGTAGTATGAGTATGGCATACCTCGTTATTAATTATGAGCTATTATACACCAATGCAGGTTTTCAGGAAAAAATGAAATTTAACTATGTTATATGTCTTATAATATTAAATAGATACAAGGAATTCAGTTTCGGATGTAACATTCAACATTATTTACCTGCTCTTGTGGAGCTAGGTATATAGGTCGTTCGATGCGTACTTTATCAAAAAGAATTCAAGAACATTGTCCGGCGTGGCTAAGAAGAGAAGGCAGCGGCTCAATAAGAAGTTCTATAATTGAACACCTTGTGAACACAGGTCACTCAATCAAGACAGACTCTGCGTTCAAAGTCATCTACAAGGTAAGTAGAAGCCTTCCTAAGACAATTATTTACAAAATCCAATCAAGGATATCAACTTTGAATTACAGATAACTTGGACATCTATAACTTCCAACCATAGTTGTATGTAAAAAGCACTTTGTTTGATCCTTCTCCTTACCATGACCTTGATTTATAGTCTTTTTTACTTGTTCATTTTATTTTCTTATCATAGTTTACTCCATTGTTTATGAGAAGGGTTCTACTTTACTCCATATTATTATTACAAATGTTATCCCTACCTAGATTTCTTGATTGCTTTTCAAGTTAATAATATTTACAGTTACGCTATTTGCCTTGTTTTTCATAAATTCCCTACTTGAATAGCAATTTAGAAAGTTGATTTATTGCTATTCAATGGTAAAGATTAAAACTGTTGAACAGCCCATACATAATTAAATCTTTAAGAACTACATTCATTTATTCATTTGAATATTATATACTATGATATACTTGAAAGTATTTTAGAAGGAGAAGTGTATTAGTAATACATAAATGCTTCATAAAACATTACTTTTACACTTGATGGCAACACTGACAACACTAAAGTATTCTAATGCACTTTTTCATCTATTCGATATTAGTTAGATGATCATCATTCAATTGACAAAACAGTAGTATAAATGTAGAGAAATAAAATTTTAAAAAAACTTTGGTGAAATGTATCTGTAACGGTAAATAAGTCTCCAAAATCAATAGCTCTGTAAGTCTTCGACATTGGATGCTGACCACACTATTTTTAATGGACTCACCTAAATGAAGGAGCTTGGTTACGCATCCGCACCAGATCACGAGTGGGAACGTTTTGCTCAACTTCTCCTGAATTCACTAGCAAGTTTAGATCAGTCAATTCTCGATATATTGATAAGCTATCAAATATATCTTCGAACCTTCTCTTTTCTGACTTTTGATTTCACTGAGTGGACACAACACAATTATAGATGTTACTGGTTAAAGTGTTGTCAAAATACAAATACCTGTGGCATCATCATACCTTTGTCAAAGAAAAAAAAAGGAAGAAATATTTCATCTTAAGACGGTGGTGAAGATTTGTAGCTCAGGTGGATGATTCTGATAGGGTTTTGTTCTCTGAGCTGGATGGTTTGGTCATGTTTTTTTTTCATTATCTATTAACTCCTTGCTTAGTGTAAGAACAACGTTTATTAAGAACTAATAATTCCTGTCTAGATTTGTGAGAGTGAAATAGTAAGAATTTTTGAACTAACAATGAATGACTTCTATGTAATTTAATAAATCTTTTTCAAAAGTTCTCCAAATAAAAGTAATTTACAATGTTGATCATCTTTAAAATTTTATACGCTATTGTAAATCTCATTAAGAATAGTCATTAATTATATAAAAGTTGTTTGAATAAATAGGAGACCAAATCAAGTGAATTACTGATAAATGGTACAATCTAAATTATTGATCCACCTAGTATTGTTTACCTGAATTTTCCCATTGATGTTTAGCATTGCAATTGATCAATCTCTTATTGGCATATGTGCATACTGTGCGTATTGCCTCGATATTGCCTTTATTCACAGGTATCATAGGCAAAGATGAATAGTGGCTAGCAGTGGAATTCAGGACGCGTGTTTTGTCCTATTTGGGACGAAATGGGAAGATTCAAGTAAATAATATCAAGTGAATTTAAACTTCACCCCATTTTACAAGCAAGTGGATATCAGGACTCAACAGTTCTGAGTTCGAGTCCCTGAGTGAACATCAACTCTGAGATACAGGTACGAATAGGACAAAACTCGCGTCCTGGATTCCACTGCTATCCACTATCTATCATTGATTAGATTATTAATCGTCTGTTGACAAAATTTGTGTTACATTTATGTAACATTTCAAACTAATTCTTCATAAAAACAGAATTCCTCATCAATTTTTCCTCAATTAATTGCATGAATAAACAGTTCAGTAAAGACGTTATGCTTATTCAACAGTAATCAAATCATCATTGAGTAGTAGGTAAACATCTTGTTTAGAATAACATAGATAAAGTGTTATATACAATAGATCAACTGAACAATCAATAAAGCAAAAATAAAACAAAAACAGAAACAATGTAACTAATATAAATCGTTTCACCGAAAGAATATATATAGATGTACTTAGGTTTACATGTTGTTACTCTTTATTTAACCATTATTCTCTTGTCATTGTATTCTACTAAATTTTCATATTGGACAATTTTTATGCTCACTTTCTCACCCACTTGACAATTCATACTTTTTTTATTAATTAATGATACTTTAACACGCATGAGTTAGAAATTGATCAGATAATTATTCTCACTTTTCGAATTTAGCGCCTTAGTTTTTTTTAAAAATAAATAAATAAAGTAAATTAATTGATCATTTATTTAAGGTTAAATTAACAAGGATAACCATTAGAATGAATGAACAATTGAAGAAGTAAAAATTAAAAGTAAGTGAATCGAATCATTACAACTGAAAATGATTGTTTATATGATGATGTAATGATTCGACTCATCAATATATATATATATATATATATATATATATATATATATATATATATATATATATATAATGTACCCCACTGACATTTCATACACTTGTATGGTTGGATGATGATTTTAGCCTAAAAAACGTATGTAGTAGAAGGTAAAATCCTTAAGATGTCACTAATGATGATCAGTGAACCATATAAATGTTTTATCGACAAGCACAATGAAGGAAATAAATGCTGAAGAATTATTACTATTATTAATATGCATGAAGATTTTAGTCGCTAACTTGATGAATACGAGGAATCTTTGAACAATTCACTAGTAAAGCTTCAAATAAATAACTTTGTAGTCTACTATACAAATCCTGTCAAACTCGTCATTATTTTGCATTAAAACTGGTTTGTCAACTAATTCCACTCCTTTATAAAAACAATGGAAGATGGTCGCACAGCTTCGTGGATTAGTTGGGGTTAGACACTAACACCGACTCGATGGTCTAGAGGTTAGGCGTTCGCGTGCGAGTTTTGCTAGACAGTCTGATTCATTCTTCGGAATCACTCAATTTTATTCATCATGATTCTAATAAATATATCTTGACTAGTATGGGGGGTTTGTGAAGACCAAAGATTTTGTGTTCGATCCCTAGCAGGGTCTTGGCTGCGTACTACTGAATAGTTTCATACGAAATCGAAATGGCCGTTCAGTATTTTCTATTCTAACTAGTTACTTAACTAAGGTTAGCTTGTGATTCAAACAATGAAAATATTTTTTCATTTGTAGATACAATTCTTATTAATTTATTTTTATGAAAACAAGTAGATAGTTAAATGTGTTACATTGTCTACATGTGAGTCTACTTCAATCCTATATGATAATTGTATATCCATTGTATACAGCCATAATCATATCCAGTTACTTCATATTGAATATTTTAAAAAACAATTTTGAAACCAATGCTTTTAAAAGAGCATTCAACTCAATAAGAATGTGTTGTTCATTTTTCAGTCCATCGATAGTGAATTAATGTAATAAAGATAAGCTGTTAAATTTTATCTCTCTCATACTGTATACACGGATTCCCTTATTTTAGTAGTGATAGTTCACTTCAGGTTTAAAACTATGTAAGTTGATTAACTCGTTGTTAAATATCACTAGTTATGATCAATAAAAAGCACTGTTTTTTCACATTTATTTGTAACTGATCACCAGATCAAGATTATTTGTGGAATTCCATCCATACTTCCATATCCTTCTAAATTTCACCTCAGAAAAATGTGTCAGAATCCACCTAAACTTTCGCACATAAAAAATGCTTGTTCAGCCTCTTCTTTAACCCTGTTTATTTACAATAATCCCACATATATATTTACATTTGTCTTTATTAATCTTATACTTAATAATGTAATCATCAGTGGAGTTCAATCATGCCGAATGTAAGGCAGTTAATCATCAAACACATTGAAAGATGGTTAAACGATATTACTAACTGATTGAAGTTAGGCCATGTGAACTGTTACATGCTAGTTCAGTGGTATAGAAGTTAAGCGTTCACATGTGGAACTGAAGATATTAGTGATGGAATCTTCACTACTAAGGATTTCTAAACCCATGTCCATTGCTTCATAGTTTTAAATACTTATTCAACAAAAATCAGTCCAAGATGTTAACTATATAAATATAAATTCTCTTTACATTCGTGTAAATCAGTAATGAAGTACTAACCAAAAAAAATCTGTGTGTATATATATAATAGTGGATTGAAAGATCTCATAACGAATAGTTTCCCACTTTATCATATTAACCTTTCGGTTACCTAGTCAACAACTGATAAACATTAAATTCGCAGCCCCAGGAAAAATTATCTAAACTAATTCATATCGAACAAGAG